TGACATTTTGCCTTCTGTCCATGCATGTCCAGCTTAGGAGCATAGCTATGGTGAGATATGAACTATGCTATTAATCCAGTAACTTTCTGGTGAATGGTAAGTGGATATTGTGTTTTCACAAGTAGGTTTCTGTTCTTTATCAGTGACCTTTTTTCAGTCAGGATAACTTGAGTACCTTGAACCATGGACTACCCACAATTCCATGCACTAGGTAATTCATGCCCAAGCTGTGAACTGATCTGATGGGCAAATGACATTCTTCAGATGTCCTAATGAGTCTTAAGGAGTCTAAGGAGACTCCCTTCTGTTTTTCTTCAGTGCCAGTGTCAACCATAACTGACATGAGGACCTTTTCACCAGCACTGGCATGGAGTTATGCACTGGCATGGAGCCCTCCAGTCAGATCGGAAGTGCCCAAGACAAAATGTGGAGGGCCCCCGAATAATCGAGTATGTCAGAGCAGGTTAACAGATGGGGCCCCGGCAAGGGCATAGGGCCTTCCATTCAAATGTGAAACACCCACGACACGACGTAGCGGGCCCCGAATAATCGAGTGCACCAGAGCAGGTTGATGATGGGGCCCCGAAAAAAGCGGAAGGCCCTCCATTCAAAATGCAAGTACTCGAAACCAAATGTAGAGGTCCTCACCACCACATGTGCCCGAGCACCTTATCAGAAGGGGCGCCGACAGGAGCGAAATGTCGTCCATTCAAATAAGGAGTGCCCAAAGCTCTGTGCGGAGGACCCCTGAAAGATGGAGTGTACCCGAACAGATGGTCAGATGACCCGCATGGGAGCACAGGGCCCAAATTCAAACTCCAAAGAACCAATGTGCAGGTCCCTCCCCCCCCCCCCCGAGCAATCCAGTGTGATCCAGGAGGCGAACAGAGGAGGCCCCCAACAAGTGCGTACTGCCCGATTCAAATACCACGTGCCCAAGACCCAATGTAGAGGGCCCCCGAACGATCAGTGTGCCTGAGAAGGTCATCAGAAAGGCTCCCCGACAAGAGCGTAGTCCCTCCCCCATTCAAATGGCACGCATCCAAGACCCAATGTAAAGGGCCCACGATTGATCGAGTGTGCCCGAGCAAGTAAACAGATAAGGTTCCCGAAAAGAGCGCAGGACCCTCCATTCAAATAGAAAGTGTTCAAGACTTAACGCAGAGGGCACTCCAGCGATCCAGTGCATCAGAGCAGGTTAACATATAGGGCCTCCGTCAAGAGTGTAGGGCCCTCCATTGAAAAAGGAAGTACCTAAGACGCAATGAAGGGGGACCCCCGAATAATCGAGTGTGCCCGAGCAGGTTAACAAATAAGCCCCCCACAGGGAGCATAGGGGCCCGCCCGATTCAGAAAAGAGACATACCCAAGATCCAGTGTAGAGGGTCCCGAACGACTGGATGTTGCCCAAGCAGGCCATCAGATGGCCCCCCGACAGGAGTGTAGGGCCCTAGGCCAGTGACGGGAGATGGGAAATGCCCTAGACCAACGTAGAGGGCCTATGAGCATATCGCAATGTGTTGGCAGGTTAACCGAGACCTACACACAGGGCCCCTGAACAACCGAGAATTACCCCGGCAGGTTAAGATATGGGACTCGGCGTATACCTCACGGAGCTTTTCTGGGGCGAATGGAATGAATCCGTGGAAGGGGTCCGTGATTGACAAGAGTGCCCCCGCACGTTAATAGAAGGGGCTCCAACAACAGCGCAGTGCCCTCCGACAAAATGCAAAGAAGTGAAGGGCATCGTAAAATGCCCCTTGACGATCGAAATGAGCCTGCAAGTGGATATATATATATATATATATATATATATATATATATATATATATATATGTCTCCTCCCGGAAAGGGCATGGGGTCCCTAGACAGTGCAATGAGGCTTAATATTTCCATGTTCAAACTTTTCCAATCAGCGAATAGTTTTTTGACTTCTCATAGGTCCCTCACTTTCGCTTATAACTGTTCTTGGTCGCCTGAAAGTACAGAGGTCCCCAGTTTTGATGCGTTTTGCGTTGAAAAACTGCGACTGTTCGGCCAGCGATGACCCCCTCGGAGCCAAGGGCCCCTTCGAGGTCCAAGGAGGGCTATTGCCCTGTATCTCCCGCCCCTTTGTACTGGTTTGACAAGGAAGGAATTCGTGTCTACAGCAGGCACCGGAAACTGGTGCGGGACTTATAATACCATGAACGTACTCTTCACATGCTGAAAGTCTTTACAGACTGAATCAGGGTAACTGGAATATTAGCCTCCAATTAGTGAAACAATTGCGTCGAGTCCGTCCATGTCGGACTTCTGACACTAAAGCTGTCGATAAGTCCAAGCATGGCCCTCTGGGTCTGTGTTATTTGAACACCAAGCAGCCCAAAGAACCTGCATCTGATGAGCTGCATGAAACCGCCAGAAACTCCGACCAGCGTTAGAGAAGATAGAGGTTAGCGGTACGCTCGCTGCTGCCGGCCCACCTGGTCAGCGGAACCGGTCATGCTAGACCCCCACTCGCCATTGCTGATATCCCAGCGGGCGGCCGGTCAGCGGAACACCATTAATTACCGGGGGAGCTCCAAACGCGGGCGATCATCCATCCACCGGTGAAACACAAAAAGAGAGCTCACTCCATGCCCTTAGCGCACAAACTCCCGGCACGGAACACGCCAATCGCCTCGAGTGACATGACAGTGATTCGTCAATGTTAACGTGAGCTAAGTTCGCCCACGCGCAGTCCGTGCGGATGAGGTCCATGCCGGCAACCCCTCTTATTGGTATGTGGCACGGTAAAACCGAACCAGGAAGCACGGATCGAAAAGTATGACGCACATTGTCAATATGACAGCATATGGGCAGCCAACCTGGGTCCCAGATGGGCTAAACATTAGCCCGCTTGCACCCCATGCTGGTATGTGGCCAGCATGCCCCTTGCGGCCCGTTTGGATCTGAGTCTATGCCGCTCACCTTGTTGCAAACTAGCTTGTACACAGTAATAAAATATCCATATATGGAGAGCAAAGTCCGAAAACTAATTCACTTGCGTAAAAGATATTAGCATGTGGACAGCCCATCTGGGTCCGACATGAAGCCCGAAGGCCAGCCTCTTTGCGGCCTATGTTGACTTGAGCCCAGCTGACCCACATACATCCCATATGAGCCCCAACCCGTGCTGTTCTCTCCCTTGTTATGTACCCATTTGTACATAATAAGGAAAAATACAGCGCGGAAGCACAAGGTAACAAGCGTAAGGCACCTGCACCAAGTATACTAGTGTATGGGCAGCCCATGTGGGTACCAGATGGAGGCCCACATGCCAGCCCGCCCGCGACCTACATGGACATGAGCCCAGCTAGCCCGTGCTCAGCCAGTGGACCCCAGTCCAGGCGGCAGTTCCCATTTTTAGAATAGCTGTACACGATATGGTAAACCAAGACAATAAAAACGATTGGCGTACACATCAGCATTGTGCATGTGGAAACCTGATTGAGCATGTAGCATATGGGCAGTCCATATGGCCCCATATCAAGCCTGGATACCAGCCCACCGGCACCCCATGTTGACATGAGCCCAGTTTGCCCACGTATGCCCCACATGGATCCCACCAATGCCAGCATTCCCCTCTGGTGAGTGTTATTTCTTCTTGGCGTGATAAATTCCGACGGAACAGTACACGGCACGAACAGTTCTGGTGCATATAAAATATGAAACGATGCGAGCGCCCCATGTGGGACCCAGCTAAAGCCCAGTTAAAAGCCCACCTGTAGCCCATGCCAAAATTAACACAGTTGCCCCACGGTTTAGTCCATGTGGGTCCCATCTGAGAATGCTGGCTTGGACGTGGACTTCGATAGGGTCCGGGCTTTTCGACCGACGCTATTTCTTTCTGTGGTGAATATTTTGATGTTTGCGAGCCTAAAATCGGCCGGAAATTTTTGGGTGATCTTGAGTTCCCCGTCCTCTGAGCCCACGTTTGACCTTGACTACGTTGTTGATAGGTCAGGACTTTTCGACGGGCGCTGGTCTTTCTGTGGTGAATATTATGATGTTTGTAAGTTTAAAATAGGCCGGTAATTTTTGGGTGACATCGAGTTCCCCGCCGGTTGACCCAACATTTGGCCTCGAAGGTCACTGCAAATTGCAAAATAAAGGTCATCTTCCATGTTCTCGTGTTATAATGATCTTCATATCTTTATCAGATAAATTTGAATTCGTCGATGATAAATCGCTGAATAAATCGCTAACTTCACCGGATATGTGGAGAGGCACATCTTAGCGTTCAATGTAGAGAGAGAGAGAGAGGAGAGAGAGAGAGAGAGAGAGAGAGAGAGAGAGAGGAGAGAGAGAGAGAGAGAGAGAGAGAGAGAGAGAGAGAGAGAGAGAGAGAGAGAGAGAGAGAGAGAGAGAGAGAGGAGAGAGCGAGAGGAAGAGAGAGAGGGAGAGGGAGAGAGGGGAGAGAGAGAAGGAGAGAGAGAGAGAGAGGGGAGGGAGAGAGGAGAGGGGAGGAGAGAGAGGAGCTGGAGAGGAGAGAGGGAGAGAGGAGAGGGAGAGGAGGAGGAGAGGAGAGGGAGAGAGGGAGAGGAGGGAGAGAGGAGAGAGGAGAGAGAGGAGAGGGAGAGGAGAGAGGGAGAGGGAGAGAGAGAGGGAGAGAGAGAGACCATTTCGCGGATCATTCATTCACCATCGGAAGGAACAAGAATGCAAAGGAACAGGGTGGCACTGTACCTATCGTGGCCCATGGCCTTTTGCTGTCATTCCTGTCATCTGTACATTTTACCGAAGACTTGCCCAGGGCAAATGCGCGGGAACGTTTTCCTCTGCGTCTGAGCATGACAGGGTTTATAGCTACCAAAAAATGGTCCGTAAAATACGCACCCGCTACAGATCATCGTAGTGGATCGTGCAGCTGCCAGGGTGCTACAATGCTATTGGCGGGGAGTGCAAATCAAAAGCTTTAATGTTAAGGATTTTAGACTTGCTATGGTCTGTTTTCTGTCACGTACATGAGTTGCCTCTTAGTTCACACCTGTTGACGGTAGCTATTGATCATGACTTAGTTCGGAGATGATGACATCAATTAGACATGCTGCTATGGCACATCTGTTGCCATATTCTTGGGAGGCAACTGCTGACAAGTTTAATTAGTGTTTTGTGGCAGATTTGCCAATCACAGCACACTCATAATTTGAACCTTTGCTGATCTGAATCTTGCTTGGCACTAAGAAAGATCTATGTTTATTTTGGAAGACCGTGATTTAGGATGGGGACATCTTATGCCAGGAATGTCATGTGATTGCTATATGGGTTAATGGTGGCATAACAGACAAAGGCAGTCATTATCTTTTGAGTGGGTACCATAACCACCTTAGCCATGCCTGTAACGTAACTCCCTTGCTAAAACACTATTAAAATTATGGATAAATTCTTATTCTGAGATCCCACATTCTTGCACAGTTCCAAATAGTGCAGATGGAGTACTATTTATTGTTTTATGCAGTACAGTGTCAATAAGAAAGAAGCATTAAAAAAGCATTGTGGTTGCTTTGTGCCGTAAAAGAATATTCAGACGATGCAACAGCATATGCATAGAAGCATTTCAAAAAGTGGGGGGGGGGGGGGGGGGGGGGGGGCAAGCTTGGGGCATAACTCTCACAGATCTCTTTTCTGGAAAACAACTGGATGACTGGAAGAGAGTAGAGATGGCGGTTATTGCTATTTATTCAGGTGTAATGACTACTATGCTAGAAATCCATCTGGAGCTATTTCTCACTGGTGCACACTATTGCCTATGTGAATCATTATGTCATTTGGCAAATAAGGCTAGTACAAGCTTCCCAATATTGTTCATATCATTTCAACATCGTCTTTCCTGGGTAGCAAAATTCCATGAGGGGGGTAGATATTTTGGGACATTGAGGAAGCATCTGTCGCCAAAGGTAGATGCTAAAATATGGCGACATAGGCTGGTGAAAATTTGAAGAGTGAATCAATATCTCACAGACAAACAAATTTTTGCTCACACCATTAATTTCACTGGCTGTGTTTCGAGGGATAAGAGTTGTCCTCGGCAATTTAAGAGGAGAGCAAATTTGGACATTTGAAAACTGGTCAAAAACTGTGTACCTAAGCCATAGAACTGAGCATCTTCGTCTTTGAAAACCAAGAATGAAGTCCTTCTATAGTCCTAAGTTCTCTGTATAGTTCTATAAAGTCCTATATTCCTTTCTGAGCTTGCTCCCATCTGACGTCGGTAGGCCACATCTTGCCCTGGCCGGGCTGTCATGGCTGTTTTGTGGCACATTCTTGGTCAACATTGCTACTTATTGAATGTAAAACATGTGTTGGACACCTGCAAAAGTACCTTTTTCCTAATTATCTTCCCTTACCACAAACACCACAACCCACCCAGAAAAGTCCGCCGGAAGGCTGCCTACTCTAGGATGAATTGGCCCAACAAACATTTAATTGCCTGTCAATTCAACGTAGATGACTTGATCTGCTTTTGTGCGAAGGAAGGGATAGCCAGAGCCTTGCTAGAGACGAAACAAAGGGTTGACAAAACGGTGATCCCCTACAAAAAATATCCCCGGATATAGTTTACATGTTAACAAGGGGATACAGTGTTCTTCTTTCTTTGTTACTTTTACTTGTAACCAGAACAGAAAACCAGAAGCTACCGTGAAACCAATTCTGGTGTTACATTTTTATCACGCGCCCGGGTGGCCGGCTAGATACCCCTTCGCTCGGGTGAGGAATCACGTTTGAATCGCCCTGAGACCCATCGGGAACTAAAAGAGCTAGACACCAACTTGACAGAGTGTGTTGGTCTGTATGTGAACTCACTTAGGTGAAAGTTTGAGATCTCTAGATCATGACTTTTGGGTCAAATAAGGTCAAACAAGGTCAAATGCCAGGTTGTTGGTCTTTTAAGTGCCCCAGAACTTAGATAACTGTTTCTTAACAAGAGGTCACATGTTCAGTTAAGGTCAGTGACCTTGTCTGACCTTTGAAGGTCATGGTGACCAAAATCATACGAGACTGCCTCTGAGTTTGGATTTGAATGAGCGAGAAGGTAATGCTAGGCAGAATGTTTCTGAAAACAAAATGTTGACCTAGGTCATTTTAGGTCAATGACCTATTCTGACCTCTAAGAAGTCCATGGACAATGTATAATGCGGTTCCTGCTATTAACAAATTCAAAATGAGCGCGAGAAACTGCCTCATATAGCAAGCCCTATAGTAATATAACAGGTTTGTTTTGACCGTGGTCTGACCTTTATGCCTGACCTTAGGTCGACGTAATTTGCTCATTCAATATTTGTGTTGCCTAAGAAAGCATCTCAGAGATGTATGCCTTCGTCTAACACTCCATTGCTGCATCAGATTGGACGATTCCCTGGAAGTTTACTTCGCTTAAACCATGGCTTGACTTTGACCTGCCATAGTTCAGCGACCTTACAGGTCAGTGCATCTGAATTTGTCATGCCAAGCGATCCGCTATTCTATTTTCTACAGCTATGCAAAACATGGCGTGACTGTGCCGCGCCGTTCGGAAACCATTCCGGAAAAACCTTTGGGGGGCGAGTAAATTCCACCCCCATCCGAGCGCATGTGAAGGTCAATAAACCGCACATCACGCGTTTAAAGACCGCATGGAATCAATCACCGGTGTCCCTAATTAGCAATGGCTTAGTAGACTCTTTCTAATTCGAAATAACTCAGAAGGTCTTTGGTAATGTCTCATCTGCGTTCTACAGACATTAAGGACGTCGCGAAGTTAGATTGTAGATCAATATGTTTGATCGAAATTTGAGGGTGAAAATTTTGATTGTAGATCGAGTGGTCAACAATGTGTATTAACATCGACAAACCATGTTTGTCTGGAAATATTTAACATTCAGTCAGAATCGATAAGTGATGCAATTTATATAGCGTGGTTTTTAACATGCACGCTCGCAAATCTTAGCAACAAAAACCTCGATACCAGGCGTTGCAGCCTCCATAGTCAGCGGAGCGTTAAGTGGTTAACTTTTCGTCATGGTCCACCGGTGGACGAAAATGAAAGCGGTTCTAAAATAATTACCTTTAAAAACTTGAATCGGTTAGTAATAAAAGTTAGGTGACATAATTTCGAGCATGCGTGATCGCAAATCTTAGTTTAAAAACACTTCGACTCCAGGCGTTGCAGTCTCCGTAGGCCACGCAGCGTTGGCTCCATAGCTAATACTGAGCCGTGGCCAACGGGTGGACGGAAATGATGACCCTTCCGAAAGAAGTACGTTTGAACGCTTCAGGACATCAAATCTTACATCTACAAGGCAGTCTGGCCACATATTTCACGTGTGCGATTCTTAGACTGATGATGAGACAGGGTTGGCTCTTAAAGCACCGCGAGGTGGTGCCGGAATCTAGTGGTGGAACTGGAAGAGTAAACGTAGATTC